CCCCCACATCCAGCAAAGAATGGAGATCCTCCTTGGCTCTATATAATGTATATATATAGATGTATAAATACATCTTTCAAAATACAGCACTGCAGAACTACAGAACTTATCCAAAGCTTCCTCCTTGCCTTCATCATGCTGCTTTCTCCTCAGTCATCTTTTCCAGAGGCTGGAAGTAGCTTTTTTAGATTTACTTCCTATAGAAGAAAAGGTATGGTACTTTAAAGCATTATTTTACCAACACAAGTCTCTGGAAAGACACTGAAATTTATTCTTTTACTCACTCACTAGTAGTTTTCCTGAAAAATAGCAGTTTAAATGGCCATTTGATTTGTAAGCAAAGAATTTTTCCTCAAACAAGAATGCACAGCCAGTACTGGAAGAGTGTCATTTCTTGTACTGAAGGAATGGACATAAACCGAAACACTTGAGCAGACACAAGCAAAAAGCCTGAGGCTAGCGTAAGCCTACTAATGCGTCAAACCAGAAAGAACAGAGGTGTTCCTAAGCACTATTCACTTACCCACTATACAACGTGACTCTTCAAACAGGCCTTAGAACAAAGGTTCTTTCTGCTTCCGAAAAAAAATGCATCTACTTCAACACTGCTTTTGAAAGTATCAACATACTGGTTACAGTGTCTGCATTTGTACTGAACATCAACAGATAAAACTGCTTTGAAAACCTCCAACTCAATCTTACCAAGGAACCTGGGCTGTGAAAACCTCTATGTCAGGGTACTCAAGAGTGAATTCTTGAAGTTTGTGGGGTACGAGGATGCAGGGAAGCCAGTCAAACACCATGTTACAAGCAAGTTTTTTAGAAGTCTATTCACTGTAACTGGCAGGATTCCAAGTGCTGGAGGAGTAGCAAGCTGAATTCAGAAAAAGCATCAGCTGACTCCATAACTCACGCTGCTTATTTAACACTTCCAAGACTTACAACGCACACTCATTGCCTCTAATCACGACACAATGCTTGGAGAAGTGACCATTTAAAAACTGGCATCTTTTTACTCCCAAGACCTACCTTTAGCACAAGCTCACCAAGTATCAACCACTACCAGTTTTTATGTGCTGGCAAAGCAATCACAGCTAGAGCAGACTGAATGCTTTCAAGCATTCAGCAATCACATTCCCATTACGAAGGATGGGTTTGCATCTGGATGTGACCAGCTGCAAACCATCTTCCCTCAAACTGGACTTGGCAACCTCTGGAAAGTGTCATCCCCTACGCAGCAAATCAACTCCAACAAACTTTGCTGTGCATTTATACAGTATTCTCTGAAAGAGCAGGGAAAAGGGTTTATACATGGCACATGCAATACAGCACACTTTACTATATTATTGCAGATAAACGGGGTGCTATGCCATGGGGCCAGTATGCCTTCAGACAACTGAAAATAGAATGTCTGTCTTAAACAGATGAAACACTAATAGGCTGTCTGGTAGGGAAGACACTGCTGCAAGAACTTCACATATGTTCTTTACATATAATATTGAGACACACACTTCTGGTAAATGGAGTTCTTAAGAATTTCCTAGAATCCAGAATCAAATGCTTAAAAAAATACACGAAACAGAATTTGGAAAAAAGTAATTATTATTTAACATGTTTTTGAATTAAATATTCCACATAACAAAAGTGCTATTTTCATGTCACCAACTATATTACTTATATACATATGCCAAAGAGTTAACAAAAGAATTAAAAGATGCCCTATTAAAACCAACAGTTATTTCTTGCTTCAGCAATCTGAAAGAACTAGTTTGTATCATAGACAAAGTATAGACAATATTTACAGAAAAGGGCTTTTTGGATCCGAGAGCAATTATCATTCAGAAGGTAAATTAAAATCCAGCTCTGTATTATAGTACAACAAATCCACCACTGATCTAGAAGAACTTGCGGCAAACCAAAAAGATTAAGTTCCTGCAACTGGGATTAGTATTTACAAAATATACTGATCAGCCACACAGAGGCTCATATAACTTTAAATATATATATATACACACATACAAGCACACATATATATATCTATATATATGTAACATATAAATAAAATTCAAAAGAACAAGGTAAAAATAAGAAAAGAACTTCTGTCTTTGGAATGTCTAAAAGATGACTGTTTTTACTCCAGTGTTTCTTTGTTATGAATATAATTAACAAGTGGCACCTTTCAAAGCATTACTTAGTCAACTAGGTTGTTTTGCTGAAACAATGACTTAACAACAAACAAAAGTAACATATTTCCAAAATTTGGAAGGAAAATAATGAGGAACTTACAGATTTGAAATAACAACTGTTTACAGCACTGGGGAATACTGTATAACGTAGGTGACCTAGTGTGCATCTAACTTTCTCACTGCTAACACAAAATTGTATGCTTACTTCCCAGATTTAGTATATGGCTGTGTTTTCCACAGATACTGAGATATGTACCTGCTGATCCAATACAGCAAACATAAAAGAAGAGGTTTTCATTGGAACCTCTTCCTGTTTGCATTCTCTTCAAATAATTATTGCTGAGTTTAAAACCTCAGACTTTTAATGTAAAAACTAACAACTAACAGCCTCTGCGGTTGGAATGGAAATGAACATGCTCCCTCTTAAGAGTTTAACTCAAGAAAAGCCACAAGTTCATGGCATTTTTTTAACAAATTCTCAAAATGTACTAAAAAAAAGATTAAAACAGAAATACAGCATTTTCCTGTGCCTTGTTAAAAAAAACCAAACCAAACTATTTTATACTGCATGCATCTATTCTGTAACATTTTGTTTCCAACCTCAATTATTTCTTTAAACACATAAAAAACAAAGCTGACCGACAGTTTCATGGTTTTCCCACGAAGCTATTCTTCACCTCCTTTAAAAATGGGAATCATTCTGTTCTGATATAAAGTTCCAGTTTATTTTTCAAATAGACATACTGGCTGTGAATTAGAAGATGAAACTGTATACAGTATTACCTGAGTTCATTGATTCACAGACAACTTAGCACAGATTAAATGATGCTTTCCCAATATTCTTCTACAAGCTTAAAAAAGAATGATTCTTTTAGGTAATTTTTGTAAATAATTAAAAAAACTATAATATATTATTCTATTGTTAATATTTTCAATGCTTGAAGCTTTAACTGTAAAAATCCATCTTTTACTTTTCTGAAAACTTGTTTAGAGAAATTCGAGTCCCAGAAACACTTTTAGCTTTCAAATTTTAAGGTGTCATCGAAAAACATTGCCTATACTTTGCCATTCATTTGAAGATTCTTGTACCACTTCTTCTAAATTCAGAGCACGACTAATATCTTCCCCTTCTTGTTCTTGATGACTAGCAGGCTCTTGTACAGGACCTACCAAAGTACAAGAGAAAAAGACAAATGAGCACGATTTGATGTATAGTGTAAGAAAAATGCAAGTACAGCATTTGGGAATAAAGGAATCATGCTGGGAAAGGTACTTCACAACTACTTCAGATTCTGTAAATTCATTAGACACTCTTTGAAAAATTAAAAAAAAAAGACTTCTAATATAATCTATTTCCTGTAATAGTTTCTGAACTTTCCATTTCCATACTACAGAACTCTACATAAAAAACCAAGGAACCATAAGCAGTAACCAATAACTGTGTTTCAACCTGCTTTTTGGGTTGCCTGCTCAACTACTAGCTCATCAACTCCGGTCTTTGGCTATTAGTGCCTAATTCCTCAGTAACTTAAGCGAAGCGTTTTGTGCTTTCCTAGTAAAGCATATGGCTTTCTGCACGCACTGTTACTATCATTATGCTACATACCAGTGTAACCATGGGCCCGTTTCATATGCAGTTTCATATTGCTTTTCTGTGTAAATCCCATTGCACAGTAATCACATTTATAAGGCCTCTCTCCTGTGTGCTTTTTCATATGGACTTGAAGAGCACTCTTCTGGTTAAAAGCCTTTTCACATAGTGTACACTGAAATGGCCGTTCCCCTTATAAAAGCGAAAAACATATTTAATAATTTCTCATTTCAACATAAAAATACAGTTCAGAATTCAGTAAAAATCATCAAGATAACCTAGAAATTAAGTAGACATGATCTTTTTCCTCGAGACTTCCTCAGAACAGTGCTATGGCTCCCTATCATCAGCAAAACATCCCAAATTAAACATCAGAATATTTACATTAAGTCCTAAACCACTGATACTCTCTTTTCCATCCCATTTATTACCTAAGTAAATTATTTAATAGTAACCAGTTTACCAGTTTGACTTTTCTGTATTCAAGGGAACCATCACCTTTTTAGATCATTTACGAATAATGTAGATAAAGCAATATTCTAGAATTAACAAAGCTAACGTCCGTAAGAAACTAGAAAGTTGAATGTGTTAAAAAAAAAGTTCTGGTAGTTCTACATGGAACCTGTGGCCTCCTCTATGCCAACAGCTACTAGTGATTCCCGTATCTTACCAAAACAGGCATATTCTTCCAAATCTACCAGAATACTACTAATTTCTAAATATAAATGCAAGAACATATTCATTACAAAAATATTTTAAAATTTTAAAATACCTACTTTGCAAAAACAGACCTTTGCTTCAACGACATCAATGACATATAGCAATGTGTCTTGTGTTAAGGACTTGTCTAGAAGCACTTTCTACACTTACAAATACACTTTTGTTATTAGTTAGCACAACAAAGCACAGGCAGCAGTATAAATACTATTCTGCAATTTTCTTTAAAGAACCAATGTCTGTCTCCCTTCATTACCTGTATGCTAGTGTCCCCACATGCACTGTAGCTCCCATGTTAAATCCAACTTCTCAGATAATCAATAAAAGGTCCTTTAAAGCATAGAAGTGTTCTTTCTGGTTTTGTTAACAATGATTTCACTGGTTTGAAGTGAAATCTAGGTTTCCTCGGATGCTTTTGACTGCAGGTTTTCTATTCTGTTAAGATGAACATCCTTTTTGGTGTTGTGTAATGGATTACCACATGGCTTTTTGGTAGAACTAGAAGCATCTGCTTCCCTCTAATTTCAGCAACATTTCTCCAAACTGCTCTTCAATGAAAAATCTGAATGTACAAGACATTTAGAGCTATTCAGAGAAACGATGTGTTTTCCTTTTGGCCACTGATTCAGTAGGTATTGCCCATCAGAAATCGTTAAAAATGTTTAATCAAGACAGAAATCACAAACACTTCCTCACAGACAAGGATCATACCTTTAGGAAAGCAAATCAGTTTAGATTTACATTAGTCTTTCCTACCATAGTTTATGTAAGAGCATCCATCTCAAAACTTCTGTGCAGCATTTTCACTCTTTTGGTCTTAAGGGATTTTTAAAAGAACATTCTCTTCTGAAAGGATGACTATTGTGTGGATTGACTTGCTGTTTCAACAATGTCAGACAACAGTAATATAAAAATGAATTTAGCAAGGATTGTTAGCGTTTGTGTGCGTTCCTAGCACGTGAGCAACCAAGGACAAGAAACCCAAAAATATCTGAGGATTTACTGAGTAAATTACAAGTCATTCCAGAAGAGAAAGAACGTTTTCTATGGTGGTGCAGATTTGTAAGAAACAGATGCATAAAGCGACTCTGCTCTGTTCCCAGCCTTTCTGGAGTGCCCTGTACCTGTTACAATGGGCAGTATGAGTCAAAGCAGGGAAAAGGGAAACTGACCTTCTTTCCTGCTTTCAGAGTATTTTATGAAACTCTAACTAGAACATTTTTTAAAAGCCAGTATTATTTACGTCAGTTATGCAGAAAGCAAATTATTGGGGAATTCTAGAGACTTTTAATCTCCTTGGATTCGTAACTCCTGCCTCTCTTTTTCCTGCCCCGAATACGACCAGAATGTTCCGTTCTACCACAGTAACCACAAAGCAGCTCTGTTCCCCTTCTTCAGTTTTCTCTCAGGAAGAGCAGTCACCATTTCTCTTGGGGCAGGGGGTGGAGGGAAGAGAAGCATAAGCAGTCAACCCATTGGATCACAGAATCATAGAGTCGTTTAGGTTGGAAAAGACCTTTAAGATCATCCAGTCCAACCATTAACCTAACACTACCAAGTCCACCACTAAACCAATTAAGGGTAGAGTCATAATTAATTTCAGGTTTCCTGGCTTGGTGGCTGGATTATTTTTTAATGAAAGAAAGACTAGGAATCACAAAGGTTGGAAAGGACCTCTAAGACCACCAGTCCAACCATCAACCCAACACCACCATGCCCACTAAACCATGTCCCAAAGTGCCACCTCTACCTGTTTTCTGAACACTTCCAGGGATGGTGACTCCGCCACCTCTCTGGGCAGCCTCTTCCAATGCTTGACTACCCTTTCCGTGAAGAAATTTTTCCCAATATCCAATCTAAATGTCCCCTGGCGCAGCCTGAGGCCATTTCCTCTTGTCCTATCACTAGCTACTTGGGAGAAGAGACCAACACCCACCTCACTACAACCTCCTTTCAGGTAGTTGTAGAGAGCAATAAGGTCTCCCCCTCAGCCTCCTCTTCTCCAGGCTAAACAATCCAAGTTCCCTCAGCCGCTCCTCATAAGGCCTGTGCTCCAGACCCTTCACCAGCTTCGCTGCCCTTCTCTGGACATGCTCCAGCACCTCAATGTCTTTCTTGTACTGAAGGGCCCAAAACTGAACGCAGTATTCAAGATGTGGCCTCACCAGTGCCGAGTACAGGGGAACAAATGCTTCCCTGCTCCTGCTGGCCACACTATTCCTGATAGAAGCCAGGATGCTGTTGGCCACCTTGGCCACCTAGATGAGAATACACGGGGTCAGGAGAGACCCCTAACCCATAAAACCAGCTCTAGTAGATTAGATCAAAGCTTCCTCCCACACTCATATGAGAAGCCACCTTCAAACAGTTGGTACGAACACCCCTTATAAAACATGCTTATGCACACCCACGGTACAGTAATTGCAACTAGCAGCAACTGATCGGCAATGAAAGCTGCTAGCTGACAAATGGCTGCTAATACCTATTACCCTTAACAAGAGTTACTGCCTATCTACCAGAAGTTAAATTTTGCTGAAAGTGCATGACCCAGCCCACTAATATTAAAGTCTATCCTATCACACCTGCACTGAAAACTTCCCTTCCTGTTACAATACTCTCTAGCTGCCATAAGCAATATGTATCACCCAAACTGCAGTTATTTCACAACTTAATACATAAGGATCTCATCCCTTCCCAGCTCAATGATCACCCATGTTCTTCATCTGCTTTTTATGCCCAGTACCTCCCCTATCTAATCATGCCTTCCCACTGCAACATCTCTAAACATGCTCTTAGAATTCCCAAATCTCAGAATTTCCTTAGCAAAACAATTCAAACCATAAATTCACCAAGTTCATGACTCCTCTCTATCCAACCTCCTATCTTTTCCTATTAGCGAGTTATCAGCAACTGAATGAAACGTGAACAAAAGTCAGGGCCAGCAGCAAGGACCTCTCTGGTTCTCAGCTGCCTAGCAAACCATAACACCCCAAAGCTCACTCACGTGTAAATGAGGTGCAACAGCTCTTGCAATTACTGTTCCTACTTTACCTTTGACAGTATACGAACCATGTGCTGAATTAGGCAACTGAAATGAGCCAAATTCATTTTACCAGAACAAATCAAAAAATGCCACAGTAGGCTGCACATTGTATAGGCCTGACCTAATTAATCCACAAACATTTGGAATTGCTGAGTAATTATTCTCCAATTCTTTTTTATCCATGATAAAACAAGCATCAGACTACATAATTTCTTTGCAAACCTCATGATATACTGCAAAAGCCAGCAAGAAAGCACAGAGAGAAGAAATATGACCTTGTCTTGACTAGTATGCACGTAAGCAGCCACTGAGACAATGGTGAGTATGAACTGATTTAACCCTAATGGAACACAGAGTCATTCATTTCTATATGGCCGCTGCTACAGAGGAAGTTAAAGCAGTTTCCTAGACTGTGGCAATCTTAACATGTTTTCAGCTTAATCTTCCTCCCCGCCCCCCCACCTGTCTTGCCTGGAAACCCCTTTATCATTTATTATTCATAAAATCACAGCCTTCGACACAGATTGAAACTCCACAATATTAAGCGCTTCATGAAAAAAGAGCAAAGAGACCCCACCTTCAAGAACTTGTCATAAACGTAAGATAAAAGAAATTAACAGATAGACAAGTATGTAAAGGCACATTAAGATACTGTATTACTTACAGTAATACTGTAATGCATACATCTGGCAATGTATATATACTGGCAGTCAAGATATCAACATTCTATCAGATGTCATACAGACACATAAAAAGAATTCAAAGATACTACTGAATCAACATTTACATCCCTTCCGAACATCTGGAACAGCATGGTAGGAAGCGTGTGTGTTTATATAGGATTGTGTTTGTCAAAGCCAGAGAAAAGAAAGTTTTGATGCATGAAATGACAGCATGCACAAGACGCTTGGATATATAGGCAAGTCTATACTTCAGAGATGCAACACTAAAAACCGCAAGACTGAATCTGAGGGTGCAAAGTGAAAATCCATTGAAAGATGAAACTCAAGTTATACATCACAAGACCGGCAAGTGATACTAACCAAGGAAAAATGACAGGGTTAACAAGGTAACTTAAAGAGATCAGGAACTTTGCTTTAAATGCACGAAGAGCAGCCAAAAGCTAACTACCAGAGGTTGATATTGGGGAAAGAGAAAGGTCTAGCTGAGTCAATGAAAGAGAGTTATCCTTTCTTGGGAGTCTTATGCTATAGCACATGCAGTCAAATTCCTTGGTCCCCTCCAGCTTAGTAGCAATATAGATAACTTTCCCCTTTCCTTTTTAACTCTAGCAGCCATGACAGCTCTTTATTGGTAGCAGTGGTATGGAAAAGAGGGAAACTGTTTTGAAGAAGTGCCTCCTATATTTAGAACTCATGTTCTCAAGAACACTGTTCTTAAGATACAGAAGGTGAAGGGGAAGGTGGTTGGGCTATCCTGTGTACAGCTTTCAACTTGTAGCAGGGCAGAAGCTGCAACCTAAAAAGCACTTTTATCACAGAAAATGTATGCTCCCTAGGAGAAGTCAGTACAGTCTTTTTATAGAGTAACAGTTGAAGAAAATAATTAAGCAGAAAAGAACAAAACAAATTAAAAGCACTGGCATTAGAAGCAGATGAACTGCATAGTAGTTCAATGACAATGAAGCACTACACATAGCAGTCAGTATCAGCATTCAAGACCGTCCCTTATTTAACGTCACTAAGCATACCCACTCATTTGCACGTTCTCCTGTATGCTTGAAGATGATCAGGCCCAGTGTTTTTACACCACGTTAAACAATGTTTTAAAATACATTTTTATTAATCTGTTTCAAAGACTGACAAACTTTTCAATACAAGCTCATGAGTTCACATTACTGTTGCAGTACTGCCAGTCCCAAAATACGGAGAAACTTAGTCACACCACTAAGCATGACGTTCTGGCTTTAAACAAAACATCACAGTTTCTGAGATTTCAAGTCTGCTGTTTCTCATTTTAATTTCTAAACTCTTTGGGTTGGAAATTTACTTGGTTTTTTTTAACCTTAAGCTGATATTTAAATGAAGTTACTGGAAACCATGAGCAAGGATTCCAAATATAACACCCATATATTCATGAGAAAATCTTGCGAGATAAAAATAATTTCTGGTGTTACCTGTGTGAATGCGGCTATGTCTTTCCAGCTGACTTGGTTTAGCAAAAGCTTTTTCACAAGTATCACACTTAAACACTCTAGGCTTCTGGGAACTCAGTGAAGGTCCAGCCTGATGGGTTTGCATGTGCTCCTAAGCCAGCAGAGAAAAAAATACATTACAGATGATTTAAAAAAACTTCAGTATTTAATGTAGAAATATAGTCACACTTTGAAGACAAAAGCAGAGGATCTTAAGTCATCAGTAGACAAGCCAGAAGAAGATGGAAGCCTGCATTTTTTTTTCTTTTAAATGAGAGACTGTTTTTGTGTATCAACTCTTTGTAAGGCTGATGCATCAGCATCTTTAAATTTCTGAAAACCTCTGTTGATAACTGTATGCATTGCTTTTTCTGCACACCTTAGTCCCTTTACTAATTATGTCACACAAAATAACATAAAAAACCCGCAAACTTACAAACATGGATTTTGGACAACTGTGCATTGTAAGTTAATATTGGATTATTCTCTCCCCTCTACAGTATCCATCTCCCCCCACTTGCCTGATACTTGCCCGATAGGTATTCTTACTCAGCACCTGAAAAAGTATCATTGTAAAACTTGTACAGGCCTCAAAGAGGGGACTATCACAACATACACACACAGATGCACAATGTCAATGTGCAAATAGAACCACTTCAAAAAAAAAAAAAATCACTAAGGTCCTTACAGGTAAGAAAGCAGAATGAGGGTATGACATGTTTTATCTTTATGAAGAAGCATTAAGAACAGTTCTAACTTCAGTGTTTTTAATTCACTGATGCTGGGTCCAGGAATTTTGCAAATTTAAAGGAGCATCTTATGTTATCTATTAACTTTTTCATTTAAATCTCTTTATTAATATCAAAATACAATTCAGATTACAAAAGAAAGCAAATACAAATATATTTAATTTAAAAATCTAATAAAGAACTATATGTGAAACAGTACTGTGAGTACTTGTCCACTTTCTAAAATGTGTGTGGATATTCTTTTCTAGCCTATTCATTACAGACTAGACTATTAATTAGTCTTTACTACAGTAAACAATAAGTCTTCTTGATCTCTAAGATAAAGTCCTATTCCTCACTCCATGAGCTGAAGCAAATTGTGTCTGCAGAATTTGTTTTCACTAGAAAATTAGCGAGACAGTTACAGGGAAGAATATTATTATCACAGTAATTATAATAATACAGTACTATAGAGAAATAATAAAAAGTCTTCTCAGAAAATCACAGGAGATTCATAAGCCACAGCTTAGTTGGAAATGAAGAAAATCTTTTGCTTTTATCTTGTTCATTACCTCCTGAAGCATTCAAATGGTGAAAACACACTATGACCTACTCCAGAAAAATTATCCAAAACTGGCTGCTTCTTTCTGTCTGTCAGAAAACAAACCCAACCCAAACCCACCAAAAAACCACAAAACCTCAACAGCCCCCACATCCTATCTTCTACTTGAAAGCAAACAGGAGAGCATCCAGACAGCCACCGCAAAACTTCGTCACCCTTCTCTGAACAAATAGTTTGTGATGCAATTCTGTTCCACTGATCTGCCAAGCCCTTACACTTCTCCTATAAAATATATGCTTTTGAAAATAGTTCATGGGAATACAATGCTCTGAAGTGCAAGCACTTCTTTATAGACATACTTAGTATTTCTCTGATTGTTCATATGATGTTTTACAAATCTATTTGTGTAATTCTTATGTTTTTCAGACGGGAAGTGTCTTGGGGTCCCAAACAAGCATTATCTAATTAGAAAATAATAGGAAACCTTCTTTGAAAGCGCCCTTTACCCACCACCCAAGCACTGGTATGCAACTCTCATGCCTCGCCTATCTTGAAACATTAATTGTAACCACCTCTGAAAGCATGGCAATAAAAAGTTTGTTTCATTCCATTGTTTTAATAAGATCACAACCTCATTCTATTTTCATGTTAGAATGATGTCTGTGCTTTATTTACTATCTCAGTCACCTTGCAGGTATTTCCACTATCTAGTGATATGGAATTGGACAGTCACCAACATCAGAAGGGGAATCAAAGACGTTGCACTGCAAATTTTTGACACTGGGGGTGGGGTGGGTGGTGGGGGTGTTCGTACATAATCTCTGAAGAAGCTTTTCTTGTGGATAATTGTGAAACTGCTGGTACCGATTCCTTTGGAAAAAACATACAGTTAACTACTGGCATCTAAACATTGGTACCCTTACCTCCTACCGTGTTTTTCTGGAAAGCCGGAAGTTTGGCAGTGCTCTTAATAACATTGGTGATGATCGCCAGAATACCATCAGTACAAAATGAAGACCTTGGGTAAGAAATCACTGAACACTGAACCGTTCCCAAAACCCTAAGCCCAAACCCCATGGTTTCATTTATCTTTGTTGAACTTCCTCTTAACAGCTGCTCACAGCTGATGTTCTGGAACATCTTAATGAAGAAAACAGTTTGATGAAGAACTGGAATTTGTTTTAGGACATGATGGCCAAGTAGTAAATGAAACTGTCTCTCTGCTTAAAACATCCTCTCCTCCTCCTCACCAAAAGTGAAAAATAATGATTTGGAGATTCATTTCGACTTTCATCATCAGAAATCTTGGACTGGGTTTATACAGGGTACAGAGAAAACCCTCCTGAAATAAGATTTATCAGCTTTCATAGTCACTAATTGGACTGATAAAGATCACACTGTTATGCTGGTCAAAAGAGAGTAATACTGCTTCCACAGGATCGGCTGTATCAAACCACAAACTTCTGCCACATTTTTGATGAAATGTTCCAAAACCTTAGCTGGTCGCTCTGCTGATTGGTGTATGTCTATATGTGTATATTGGGAAAAGAAACTGTTGAAACTTCCTCATCATCTGGTGAGGTCCACTCTCTAATTTCTAAATATACATGCAACACTACCCTCCTTTCTTAGCAACTAACAAAATGTGATCTTTTGCACTTACATTTGAGGGTCTGATCAGAAGGTTGAAAATGGTCCACTGCACCGAGCAGGAAGTGTTTCCTGATATAAAGTTCTAATTTAAACAATCATCCCAAATAAAGCAAGTAAGGCTGTCTTTCACATCAGAAAGTACCCATTCAAGAAGTCAACTTTCAAATATAAATGTTTTTCTATCATCACCCTAACCTCATCTAACAAGCAGGTTTTTGTCCATATCGTTCCTGATCTGTGTTGAACTGCAGATTTTTTTCAAATCTTTTTTTGCAGAGAAAGTGAAATAGAATCATAGAATCATTTAGGTTAGAAAAGACCTTTAAGATCATCAAGTCCAACCGTTAACCTAGCACTGCCAAGTCCACCACTAAACCATGTCCCTAAGTGCCACATGTACAGGTCTTTTAAATCCCTCCAGGGATGGTGACTCAACCACTTCCCTGGGCAGCCTGTTTCAATGCTTAACAACCCTTTCAGTGAAGAAATTTTTCCTAATATCCAATCTAAACCTCCCCAGCACAACTGGAAGCCATTTCCTCTTGTCCTATCACTAACTACTTGGGAGAAGAGACTGACAACCAACCTCGCTACAACCTCCTTTCAACAACTTTCTACAACTTTCTACAACTCCTTTCTACAACTACTTTCAGGTAGTTGTAGAGAGTGATAAGGTCTCCCCTCAGCCTCCTCTTCTTCAGGCTAAACAATCCAAGTTCCCTCAGCTGCTCCTCATAAGACTTTTGCTCTAGACACTCCATCATCTTCCTTGTCCTTCTTTGGACAGACTCCCGCACCTCAATGTCTTTCTTGTATTGAGGGGCCCAAAACTGAACACAGTATTCCAGGTGTGGCCTCACCAGCGCCGAGTACAGGGGAACAAATGCTTCCCTGCTCCTGCTGGCCACACTATTCCTGATAGAAGCCAGGATGCTGTTGGCCTTCTTGGCCACCTGGGCACACTGCTGGCTCATATTCAGCCGGCTGTTGACCAACACCCCCAGGTCCTTTTCTGCTGGGCACCTTTCCAGCCACTCTTCCCCAAGTCTGCATCATTGCATGGGGTTGTTATGACCCAAGTCCAGGGCCCGGCACTTGGCCTTATTGAACCTCATACAACTGGCCTCAGCCCATCGCTCCAGCCTGTCCAGATCCCTCTGTAGAGCCTTCCTTCCCTCCAGCAGATGAACACTTCCGCCCAACTTGGTGTCATCCTGCAAAATTACTGAGGGTGCACTCAATCCCCTCACTCAGATCACTGATAAAGACATTAAACAGAACTAGCCCCAACGCTGAGCCCTGGGGAACACCACTTGTGACTGGCTGTCAACTGGATTTGACTCCATTCACTACAACTCTTTGGGCCTGGCCATCCAGCCAGTTTTTTACCCAGCAAAGAGTATGCCTTTCCAAGCCATGAGCCGCCAGCTTCCTTAAGAGAATGCTGTGGGAGACAGTGTCAAAAGCTTTACTAAAGTCTAGGTAGACAACATCCACAGCCTTTCCCTTATCTACTAAGCGGATCACCTTGTCATAGAAGAAGATCAGGTTAGTCAAGCAGGGCCTGTCTTTCATAAACCCATGCTGACTGGGCCTGATGGACTGGTTGTCCTGTACGAGCCATGTGATGGCACTCAAGATGATCTGCTCCATAACCTTCCCTGGCACCGAGGTCAGACTGACAGGCCTGTAGGTTCTTCTGGCCCTTCTTGTAGATGGGTGTCACATTTGCTAACCTCCAGTCAACTGGGACCTCCCCATTTAGACAGGACTGCTGATAAATGATGGAAAGTGGCTTGGTGAGCACTTCCACCAGCTCCCTCAGTACCCTTGGGTGGATCCCATCTGGCCCCATAGACTTGTGTGTGTCTAAGTGGTGTAGCAGGTCACTTCGCCTTGGATTATGGGGGCTTCATTCTGCTCCCCGTCCCTGTCTTCCAGCTGGCTTGGGTGGTCCGAGAACAACTGGTCTTACTATTAAAGACTGAGGCAAAGAAGGCAATTAAGTACCTCAGCATTTTCCTCATCTTTTGTCACTACGTTTCTCCTCACATCCAATAAAGGATGGAGATTCTCCTTAGCCCTTCTTTTGTTGCTAATGTATTTACAGAAACATTTTTTATTGTCTTTTATGGCAGGAGCCATAGTAAGGTCTAGTTGGGGTTTTCTAGTTTTCTCCCTGCATAACCTCACAACATCCTTGTAGTCCTCCTGAGTTGCCTGCCCCTTCTCCAAAGGCCACAAGCTCTCCTTTTTTTCATGAGCTCCAGCCAAAGCTCTCTGTTCAGCCAGGCCAGTCTTCTTCCCTACTGGCTTGTCTTTTGGCACACTGGGACAGCCTGCTCCGGCACCTTTAAGATTTCCTTCTTGAAAAATGTCCAGCCTTCCTGGACTCCTCTGCCCTTCAGAACTGCCTCCCAAGGGACTCTGTCAACCAGGCTCCTAAACAGGCCAAAGTCTGCCCTCTGGAAGTCCATGGTAGCCGTTCTGCTGACACCCCTCCATACTTCTCCAAGGATCAAAAACTCTATCATTTCATAATCAGTGTGCCCAAGACAGCCTCCAACCACCACATCATCTACAAGTCCTCCTCCGTTCACAAACAGCAGGTCCAGCAGGGCACCCTCCCTAGTTGGCTAGCTCACCAGCTGTGTGACGAAGTTGTCTTCCACACACTCCAAGAACCTCCTGGACTGTTTCCTCTCTGCTGTATTGTATTTCCAGCACACACCTCGTAAGTTGAAGTTCCCCACAAGAATAAGGGCTAGCAATTGTGAGACTTCTGAGACTTCTCCCAGCTGCTTATAGAGTATGTGGTCTGCCTCTTCATCCTGGTTGGGTGGTCTATAACAGACTCCCACCATGATATCTGCCTTGTTGGCCTTCCCCGATTTTTACCCATAAACACTGAGCCCCTTCATCACCATCATCAAGCTCTAGATAGTCAAAACACTCCCTAACATACAGAGCTACCCCATTGCCTCTCCTTCCTTGCCTATCCCTTCTGAAGAGTTTATAGCCATCCATTGCAGCACTCCAGTTCTGTGAGTCAACCCACCATGTTTCTGTGATTGCAACTATATCACAGTTTTCCAGCTGCACAATGGCTTCCAACTCCTCCTGTTTGCTGCCCACGCTGCATGCATTGGTGTAGATGCACTTCAGTTGGGCTACTGATCCTGCCACCTTTTTCTGGGGAGAAGTCCTAGTTCCTAATGTGACTGTTTGGATGCACTTCCATGGTTTCTAACACATCAATAACCCTTCCATCTTTGCTGCTGCGTGGATCTCCATCCCCTACCTCCACTGAGATGGCTAGGGTGCTACGTGCATTAGTACAAGGACGTTTCAAGTGTGCTCCAGTGTACTCAGCACATCGTGGAGCAGACCAAAGGACCTCACTAGCACACCATCCCTCAAACATTGGCATACTGCCCCCAGGCTTATCTCCAGTGATCCTGGTTTTATCCCCTTTCCCCCTTCAACTATAGTTTAAAGCTCTTTCAATGAGCCCTAACTCCTGCACAAAGATCCTTTCCCTCCTTTGAGACATGTGTACCCCGCCATCTCTCGCTAGCAGGCCTGGTGTCGTGTAGACTGACCCATGATCAAAACCCCAAAATTTTGCTAGTGAAACCAGTCTCGGAGACAGTTATTGATCTGCTGGGTCTTCCTGATTCTTCCCTCATCATTCCCTGCAACTGGAGAGATAGAGGAGAACACTACTTGTGCTCCTGATCCCTTAAGCAGTCGTCCCAAGGCCCTGAAGTCTCTTTTGATTGCCCTTGGATTTCTTATTGTAACTTTATCGCTGCCTACGTGAAAAAGCAATAGTGGATAATAATCTGAGGGCTGTAGCAGGGTAGAAAGTTTCCTCATCATATTTTTAACCCAGTCCCCGTATGTAATAGAAGTCAAAGTTTAATTATGAAAAAAATGTAACACCAGCCAGTTCTAAGAAAACAAATTGAAGAGAGACTGATATTTGGGGTTTTGTTAAGGAAAACAAGTATCAATACTGATTTTAATTTATTTTTTGTTCTCGAAAACTGCTCCTAAACCAGAGGTTAACAATTTCACAACACCACATTTTGTGACAGTTTCCCCAAGGACCAATAGTCTGTTTGACACATACACCCACTCCAAGGGAGTGAACTTCACAAACAGGATATATTTCCTTAAAACATGATACTAAAGTGAAAGGAAATCTATTGAAAAGCTGTCCTAAGAGCTACTTAATATAAAGACATTGCCTCTGGCTCCAGAAATTTCCTGCTATAAATTGTGGGAAGCTGGAAAAACTCTGGGCAACTTATACTATAGATTTGCTCATTTCATAAAGCACTTCAAATCACTGCCTTTTATTATTTCTCAGAGATAGGATACTGGCCTGGACATACCACTTGTGTAGTACAGCCCAATATTCCTAATAGGAGCATTCTATAATCTAATTAAAAACTTAAACAGACCACTAATTTTTTTGAGAAGACTTGGAAGTATCAGGTCATTCACAATCTAGAAAAAACTACCTAGAAAATATCACTAGACAACAGCAATAATATAAGGATATTTTAAAACAAATGCTTCCTCTGCAGATGTCACTTGTACTCACAACACAGAGCATCTAAAAATCAAATGACAGATTGCAAAGCAGACAGCTTCCTATTATTTCGAAAGCTTATCTGGAAATCAGGATTAGCAGTGATGACATACTGCTAAAGTAAGTGAAATCTTTTTCTGGCACTATTATTTGCATGACAGACATTCATATTGTTCATTCTGTAGTCAATATATGCATTAAAATACTCTCCATGCTCCAGAAAAGAGTTCTCTATCTGTGTATACATTATCACTTAGACTCCCCCTCTCAGATGCACACCTCTTGCACTGTAAAAGGAAAGGAAAGGTAAAGGTGTAACAGGTACCTTTCATTAATATCGCAACAAGTCCAAAACAAAAGAATGAGTTAACAGAACAATCAACTGTTATTACCAAATACCTTGAGATGTGTTGCCCGCTTAAAGGCTTTATTGCAGACATGGCAAACATGTATTCTTTCCTTGCCATGAACCTCTTTACTATGGTGCATCAACATGGTGGCTGAAGAAAAGGTTTGACTACACTCAAAACACTGGTGCACGCGACCTTCTTTTTCTGCTTGACTGCTTTTAGTCACATTAGGAGAAACCTCTGTCACCTACAACAATTTACAAAAACACTGTCAAATAATTTCATAGGCACATCTACAACAGTGGTTTATTTTTCAAAATCTACCTCAATGTGAACCAATTTCTGGAAAGTACTTGCAAGCAACTTATTTGTGCTGGTAAGTTGTATGTAAATATGAACTTGTATTTTCCTGCTCTAAAGAATGACACATATATTTATTTTAAGAAAACAGAAAGATTATAGTAACTATGAACAAATTCATTTACACATTATAAATAGAATGTGTTTGTACAAATATTTTCCTACATTCAGTTTTATAGTCCTGAGCATTTCAGATGATCCTCACATTTCTCATCAAACAAAATTCAAAGCCAAAAACATTTCAGACAAAAAAGAAAGTATCTCTGATTTTACAGAGGAGAAGAATATTTTCTATTTGTTTAATTTCTTCATCAGGGATTCTGTTTTCATAAGGAAGTAAAGCTCTGAGCTACCAACAAAGTTCCAGAAGTACTGAAACACAATGAAAAGTTGATAGAATTTGGATGGAGTTGTGCTGCATTTTTTGTTTTGTTTTAATCAATGAGGGTTGTTTGGAAAAATTTCACTTTCTTCAAATAAAATAACACAAAATTCCTTCAACTTTGTAGATACAAAAGAATCTTAAATGCACTAACTTATAGAAAGAAACAAATTAATATGGAGGATGAAGGAAGTAGTAGTCTAAATGGATTATTCAAGATGAACTAAACTTGAAAAGATACAGAACATAGTTCGAATATTATCCGTATCCATAGAAAGTAAAGATGCATATACAACATATTGAAAGAAATGACAAAAAAATCCTGTGTGCCTGTGCGTGCATTTGTTTCCAACTAGTTGGAACCTCTCAGGAAACGGGTGAAATGTTGAAAGGTCAATCAACACAGTCACCATGATTGAATAAAACACACAACATTACAGGGAATGACAAAAAACTAGTTTACGTTAGTGTAACAATTTAACCATTATTACAATAGTGCTACTCAGACACGGTCACACCTTACAAGTGACATTATATTAAGCCTTATGAAATGACACCCTGATTTATGAAAGCATATATATTGAAAGACAAAATCTAGTTTTAAATTCGGAAGAGTAAGAAAATATATTCATGTTAAATTTTAAAACATCCACCTTCACAGAGTATTTGAACACTAATAGTGTTAAGAACTCACACCCATAAGCATACGCAAATGTAAAAATCATATGCACAAGATGTTATTAGAAACAGAATACTTCAAGTTGAAAGGGATGGCTTGAGATCATCTACTCTAGTGTCCCTAGAGCACACTCAGGGCCATGCCTGGACATGTTTTGACTACCACCAAGGATGGAGACTCTACAACCTCTCTGGACAACCTCTTCCAGGGTTCAACCGCCCTCACAGTGAAACAGGGTTTCTTCATGCTCAGATGGAATTATTTTAATTTGTGCCTACTGCCTCTTGTCCTTTTCACTGGGTATCACTCAGAAGACTCTGGCTCCGTCTGCTTTACTCCCTCCCATCAGGTATTTATGCACATTGCTAAGAACCCCCCCACCCAGAGCCTGCTCTCTTTTAAGCTGAACAGTCCCAGCTCTCTCAGCCTCTCCTTCTATGTCAGATGTCCCAACCTCTTAATCATCTTTGTAGCCCTCCACTGTACTCACTCCTGTATATCCATGTCTCTCTTATACTGGGGGGCCCAAGACTAGACACAGGACTCTAGATGATGTGTTCTCGCTGGTACTGAGAGGGGAGGATGAACCCTCTCGAACAGCTGGCAGCACTCTTCTTAATGCATCCCAGGACTCTGCTGGCCGCCTTTGCCACATTGCTGGCTCATGGTCAAACTACTTGTCTACCAGTACCCCTGGTCTTTCTTTGGAAAGCCGCTCTCCTGCTGCCCTCAGTGTGTGCTAGTGCATGGGGATGTCCTTCTCCAGGGACAGGACTTTGCACTTCCATTTGCTGATCTTAGTGAGGTTCCTGTTGTCCCAATTCTCCAGCCTGTCAAGGTCCCTCTGCATGACAGCACACCCATTCAGTCTGTCAACCACTCCTTCCAGTTTTCTATCAGCAGTAAACCTGCCAAACATGCACTCCATTCAATCATGCAGGTCATTAATGAAGAACATTAATGAACAGTTCTGGCCCCAGTAATGAACCCTGGGGTACACCACACACTAATGACTGGCCTCGACATGGACTTTGTTCCACAGATCACAACCCTTTTGAGACCAGCAGTTCAGCTAGTTTTCAATCCACCTCACTGTTCCATTTAGCTAGCCCATACTTCATCAGCTTGCCTACAAGGAGGTTATGGGAGACAATGTCAAAAGCCTTACACTAAAGTCAAGGCAAACCACATCCACTGCTCCCCTCATCCACCAAGCCAGTCATCTCGGAAGGCTCTCAGGTCAGTTAGGCGTGTTTTCCCCTCCATAAATCTCTGCTTCTTGTCCTTCATGTGTTTGGAAATGCTTTCCAGGATTATTTGCTCTATCGACTTCCCAGGGATTGAGGTGAGGGTGACTGACCTGTACTTCCCCAGATCCTCCAACCTGCCCTTCTTGAAGGCAGGAGTAACTTTTGTTTTCTCCCAGTCTTCAGGAACCTCTCCTGATCACCATGACCTTTCAAAGACAACAGACAGTGGTCTCATGGCAACATCAACCGGCTCCCTTAGCACTCATGAGTGTATCCCACCGCCAATGGATTTGTGTATGATCCTCCTCTACTGAGGGTACATATTCATTGCTCCACCCTTTCCCACTGATCTTAGTAATGTGGGATTGCAGAAGACAAATCTGACCAGCAAAAACGAAGCAAAATGAGACACTCAGTACATCACCCTTCTTCAAATCTTCTGTCACCAGGTCCTCTGCCCCAGTCAGTAGCAGGACAACTCATCTTCCTCTTGCTGCTGATATGCCTGTAAAAGCCCGTCTTGTTACATTTTATGTCCCTTTCAGAGTCAACTCCAGGTGGGGTTTGGGTTTCCTAAACACATTCCTGCCTCTTTGAATGGTGTCTCTCAACTCCTTCAAGGTCACCTGATCCTGCTTCCACTTATGTATGCTTCTTTTTTAAATCTGAGTTTTGTCAGGAGGTCCTTGTTCCTCCACGCTGGCCTCCTGTCACCTTTGGCTTCCTACACATTGGGATTGATGATTCTTGAGCTTGGAGGCGGACATTTAAAATCAACCAGCTCACCTGGTCCTCCTTCTCTCCGGGTCTGCTTACCATACGATTATTCCAAGCAGATCCCTGAACAGACCAAAGCCTGCTTTCCTGATGCCCAGGGTTGTGATCCTGCTATTTGCCTTATGTCCTTCCCTCAGAATCCTGAGCTCCACCATCTTGTGGTCACTGCAACAAAAGATGTCCCTGACCTTCACACTCCCAATCAGTTCTTCTTTGTTTGTAATTATCAGGCTCAGAACATCACTTCCGCTTGCTGGCTTCTCAGTCATCTGTATCAGGAAGTTCTCATCAATGCACTCCAGAAATTTCCTAGATTCCTTGTGCCCTGCTTGTTGCCCTTCCAGCAGATCTTAGGCAGGTTGAAGTAACCCACATGGACCAGGCACTGCAAATCACAGATTCATTTAAGTGGGAAAGGACCTCTTGAGTCCATCCAGTCCAACTCCTGTACTCAAGAAGAGTCACCTAGCCTCATCGTCTATTTCTTCCTGATCAGGCGCTCTGCAGCAGATGGCTAGTATTCACGGCAGCGTCACCCATGTTGATCTGCTTGCCAATCCTTACCCATAAGGTCTCAGATAGCTCACCATCTAGGCAGAGCTCCATGCATTCCCTGCTGTTGTCTTGCCAGTCTGTCCTTTCTAAAGATCCTGAATCCAGCCATGGCAGCGCTTCAGTTGTGTGAGCTGTAGCACCTTCTCTGATTCCAATGAGATCGCAGCCCTGCAACTGCATGCAGACCTCTAATTCCTCCTGCTTGTTCCCCATGCTGCATGCATCAACACACAAGCACTCAGAGGCACACAGTTGTGACAATTTTTCCAAGAAGAGTGTTGAAGTTTCCTCTATTACGTTGTTGTCCAGCACCTTTATTCATACACATACACGAGGCAGGACCCTCCCTTCAGCCCTTATTATTTTTGAGGCTTCTCTTGCCCATATCAGCCACATCTTGCCCGTTGCTTGCTAATCCAATCCACCACTTCTTCACTTGATTGTGGGTCACCATCTGCCTCTCCCATTTTTCCTAGTTTAGAGCTTGCATTACCAGGTTGGTTGAAAACATTCATTTTGCCTTCAACAAGGGAAGTGTGAACTACTTTTCCTAATATTAATACAGTATTACATATGTAAAATTTTCTATTGAAATTCAAATACATAAGAAGTTGAAAAGACTTTATGTTGCTTCACTATCGAAGCAATTTGGTTACAAAAAGAGAGTGGAAAAGGTATAGCAATAGGTGCTGGTTTTGTCCACAGCTCTCAACTTTGTCTGTTTTTATTATCTAATTACAAACTTACTTGGAAATTTTTGGAGCAGTCTGTGTTGAGAGCACAGTTATGTAATTTGTAGAAAGAAACACATCATTAATTGTGTTTCTTTTTTGTATATGAAAAACTGTTTTTAACTCAAAACTTAAAATGGAATCTGGATGGCTAGGAAGTCACGATGAACCTCTTCTCAATGCTCTTACTCAGGAATGACATCAGCCTTCCTGATATAGAGGAATCATTCCAGTATTTTGATTAAATAACGTCCTTTACCCACACAAGATACAGAAATATATTGTATCTACCTGATATGTTATTTCATCAGAGTTTGCAGATGCTGAATGGGGTGTATGGCTCACCAGTATTACTTGCTGTGAGCCTGACCCACTTTGGCTAGCAAGACTGGAATCTGTGAGTATAGCAGGGAACTGCTGACCCTGTCAAAGAGGGGAGAAAAGAAAAAAAGAAAAGGTACAATAACTATATTTAAACAGCTAACTGTAGTCATGTATCTCAAAACTATTTTTTTTTCCCCCTTGAAAAAGTCCATTCCAGAATCCTATCTGAACAAATACTATTGTTTTCTCTCGTTTTCTCCTTCCATTTTAAGTCTACCAATTTAAGGGTAACAACAGCTGGAAGTCTGTAACAGCAGATTCAGTTCTGATTAATATTTCCCAGCCTTGTATCAATTGCTGAATGTCTCAGCCTTCCCTTGTCTTTGTCTCTTCAGCTGATAGTTTCTTTAACCCCTCTATTCTGCTTTCCTGCATAGCCTTCCCACAATATTTTCCTTCTTTTTTTTAAATCTCTTAATTAAACCTACTTCCAAAATACATGAAATCGAGGTAGAAAATTACTAATTCAGATACACAATTACTAATATCACACTACTACTTCTATTTCTACATTACTGTTAAAGACTTTTTAATTTCCCCAGGAAACGCAGTACCTTTATGTACTGTCTATTTGTCAAGATTCCTGCAACACAGACTGTGTTTGCATAGTACCCAAAACAATGTTTCATTTTTATTTATGGCTGTCTTAACATAGTGTCTTATTAATAAAAAATCAACACTGCCAAATGTAATTGCTTAAATTATTACAAAGTCTGAAATGAAACCACATGTTGCTTTGTTACCCTGTGGTGCCAGAAATCACAAACATGTCACAAGAATTATTTAAGAAGTCTTTTCTTCCCCTCCCCAGAGCAAAACTGCAGAGAGGGAAGCATACAATCATCCTCACAGATTTTGCTTCACCAGGTTTAATCACACCATATGCTAGACAAATAGTTCTTTCATTTATATACATTTACACATTTTAATTTGGGTCCAAGTGTAAGTAAAAAAAACAATCTAAACCTAGTTCAACCAAGAAAGAAGAAGAAACAGCTCAGGTTTTCAGATGTCAAACCTACACTGAAATGCCAAACACACAATACCCCTAAATTTTCACTTTCTAGTCTTAATGTTATTTACTGATTTTTTTTTCTCTCTGCTCCATACATTCTATTTGCCAACACATCTTTGGCTCCTGACGACACCACAAAAATCTTAAATTATGATAAAAACAAAACTAATGCTAAAGCTACTGGAGATGATAGTCCATACAGCACTACTGTGCTTATTACGCTACCTGTTATTAAAGACAGTCAATTTAATTTAGATTCTGTCCTATTCTTTGCTGTAGAGGGAACTGTTGCAACTGCTCTTCAACTCTCATGTTCACAAGAAGTAAAAGAAAAATTTACCAGATTAAACCATAAAAAGTTTAGGAATACTGAGATACATTACTGAATAGTGATGATACAGTACACAGTTTAGTTTGTCACTAAAAATTGATCTCAAACAATGTTTGAAACAGTAGAATCTATCTGTTCGTTGAAAAAAAAAAAAACCAACAAACCCAAACCCTGCAAAATTTGTCTGTATTTGTTTAAATACTTTATGTTTCTAGATGCCAGTGTGCACACACTGTTGGCACAACGAAGGAAAGTTAACTGAATTTTCAAATACAATGTATTTACAGGACAAAATTATTTTCTAAGCAAAACCTCCAATTCCTGCCCTGTAAGACAGTAACGTTAGTTTATCTGTCAGTTCAGAAAAGCATTTCTTACCTGTGACGTGATATTAAGTGTAACTGCATCAAGACCACCTGACAACATTCCCTGAGTGTCAGCAAGAGTCAAGGTGACACTACCATCCCCTCCAACTCCTGATGAAGACATTACCAAATTCTGGGCAGAAACTGTAGACTGAGATATGGGTGTTGCTGAAGGCAAGTTTGTTCCACCTGTTGTATTAAGTTCTGGAATACATGTGAAATTAAAAAAAAAAAAAAACAAAAACCCAAACCTGTTAAATACATAAACTCTTAGCTGCAAACTTATTTCAATTGAACTTAAAAACTTCTGTTTCTCTTTTGTTGGGCCTTTATTTTGGAAGCAAATAAATCAGTTAAACAGCTAATCACGTGTCAAAAAGTGTCAGAGAGTCAGATGATAATATTAGAAAAATTACATCTAAATGTCACTTGATGAACATCACACTGACAAGCAGTAACTCTGTAACTTGGCCAAGTGGGAGAGGGCTCTGCCAAAAAGACACCTGAAAAAGTTTCAGGTTACACATTTCTGTAGTCTGACCACTTTCAGAATTCTCAATGAAATACACTTTGACTCATCACAGTAAAACCAAAATTTGAAAACTCCGTAACCCAACGCTTCCATCCTATCCTTGCAACATGGTTGATAATTTGTAAGAGCAAAAAAGGCCAGTGTATTGTTAATAGGTATTTCACAACAGTTTACAGACTACACAGATTACAATAGCTGTGTAATAGTTTATTATAGATTCTCCAACACGTGACTAGCGGCCTCACAGCTCTGTTTACAATAAGTGTCAAAAACCTGAGAAGATGAGACAGAAGTTATGATAAAACCATCTGTTTTTACCATTTCCTTTACTAATTTGCTACACAAGAGCATGCCTTAACATTCAAATCTTACAGGATACTCTGGGGTAGGCCTCCCCCAGTATGACATTAAAGCAGATTTGCTTTATACATGTATATAAGCACTAAAGGAAGCTACAAAAGGAGACAGATGAAAGGAAAAGGAAGACAGAGAAAAGTTAAGAATGCGTAAGAGTGAAGAAAATTATTTACGTATCAGTAATAAGTCTGTATTAGTGCAAACTGCTGCAATCAATCAGTGCAACCAATGCAACCTGCTGCAGTAGTTGAAAGTATGAACACTGTACACACACACACGTTTGTGTGTATAAACAGGAATTCATATGCATATTTGAAATACAAAAATTTTAATACTAGAGCAAATTTGATATAAAGGATATTTTATCATGGCGTCTGCAGCAAATGTATCAGACTTCTTCATTGTCCAATTTACAGAAATAGTCCTTCAATATTCCTGTAACTGCCTCAAAGTACTAATTTTAGATATGTCTTCTTGTTTTCATTTTCTTCTTACTCTGTGGAGTAAAGCTCATTTAAATTGGCATAACAATTTAAGGCTAGTGAGAAAACACACAAAGCCACGTAGTTCCTGAACTGTAATGTGCAAGATTATACCATTTCTGATTTAGTTACCTGGACTAACATCTATTTTTTAACAAAATGGTATTATTTTTAATTAGAAAAATCACTTTATGCATACCTGGAGCATTTAGTGAAGTGCCCTGAGAAAGAAGCTGGTCGTTGCTTATGGTTAATGTAGCACCTGTAGTCTGACTGTTGATGGTTGGTGCTGTCAGCCTTAAGCCACTATTCAGATCACTGCTTCCAGAATTATGCTGAATAAGATCTTGGCCTGAATAGAAATTAGTGCAATTATAACTGGAAATGTCTCAACATTATTCTGCTACTGTACTTAGAACTATAAACAAGTAATCATAAAATAATAAAAGTAGAAAATACAACCAAAATAAAAAAATTCATTTCTACACATGCAGATTTTTATGCAGAGGGTCAGCAAGTTTTTAATACAATGTGATTATGCATATCTAGATACTAACATGTAGAGAAATGCCTATGCTTTATTAATAATTAGACAAATATTGATCTTTCTTAGTTAGATTCAACGCACCAACTCCATAAAACCTAGCAAACTAAAGGCTAATGGTTAAAATGATTTTTTTTTTTTGTTAGATCTACTATATGGATAATGAATTGCATTGAACATGTCCTCTTTTGGAGAAAACATTACTTTCACATGGTGTTAATTTTATGGAATGGTCAACAAACATAGAACATACAGAAACTGAAAACAGATTCTATCAGTTGTTGGACAGCTATACTCCATTTTCTTTAATGAGCGAACATCCATTAACAAGGAGAAAAAACATATGTGGGGGAACATGACAACTTAACATGGACATTATTGTCACAACACTTAAAAAAACTAAACATGTTACAGAAAACAGAAAAAGAGAAAAGATAAAAAGAGAGAAAAAAGAAAAAAAAGAAAGAAAAGCACTGAGTATTATACTGCATCTATTAAAGAAATGCAATGACACAAAACACAAATTGTCTTTGGCAGAAGTGGAAAGCTGTTTATAGTGTATACAGGATCAGTCTCTTAGAGGCAGCAACAAAATTGGTCTAAATTTTTTCAAAGGAAACCTGAAGTATTAACTACATATTATAAAGACTGAACAGTATACCTCAAAAAATGGTCAGAACATCTACTACAACATGGTTCCACAGGCATTTAAACAAAACTAGATTAAATAAACTCATCCCCAATGCCTGCCATACTTGTTCCCATCCCAGTATACGCAAGAGCTGCGCTACCTCAAGTGAGGCACTGCAAGGAAGTAAGAACTGGTTACATGGGCTTTGCCACTTAGAAAAATATCTGTTGGACCAACACTATGAATAAAATAGGGAACCAATCTAACATGCATCCTCAAAGCAAATGTATTTTGTTTAAAAAGCAGATTTGGGGAATATCTTTTAAAGCTGTTGAATATAAAAAAATACAACACGGGAAAGCTGTGGACAGTGACTATATCCTCACATGCTACTGTATGTATCTTATAAAATGGAGAGCTGGTACCATTAAAGATCACTAAAAATACCAACCAGATATTGTAAGAGTGATTTCTTGAGGACTTCCTGATGAGCTAGTAGTAGTAGAACCCGAAGCATGAGCTAAAACTTGACTCAAACTGGAATTATTTATGGTCAATGTTATCTCATGTTGTCCATTTGATGATGATACCATACCCTGTGAAGTCATGACTTGAGAGATGTCCTGTGCACCTAAATATAAGCAGGTAGAACAACAAAAATCCAGGAAGATGTTTTCTTTAAAATAGGTACAATTTTTAAAGCAATTAATACATTATTTTCTAAACTACTCTTAAAGATGTAGCCAAGGTAAGATGTTAGAACTTGTACTCTAAATGCAGGTTAAGGTCTTCAGAACAAAGATTTTTTTATGTTTCTAAAGATTATAAGTGTTCTTCAATATCTTCATTATATATTCCACCTTCTGAAAAGGGTCATATTTGAAAATGGTAAAACAAAATTGTAAAATTTGGGGGTGGGGGGCAGATTTTCTCCCTGTGGGTAATACCATAATTAAAGCTAAGACATTCAAAGCACAATAAAACTATTGACGCTGCTTACCACTAGCATTGGTTGTCAGCACAGACTCTTGCTCCGATAGGGATCCTATTGTCATGTTGGCAGAAGATGTTACTGTGGGCTGCAAGGACAGGCCTGATATAGGCTGAATAACCACATTAGCTGGCACTGCATTTTCTGTTGCCTGGAGGGAAGGATTCTGTGGAGCCATACTGGGATCTCCAGTTAGCTGCTGAGCAAGTAAATTACTCTGCTGTAATGTCTGCTGTAGAATACTTGGATCAATCTGAAAAGCAAGTTTTCAATCTGATCAATCTGAACAAATATGGGTTAAGTGAATAGTCTTAACAGAAATCTAGAATTCAAAGGGTTGCATATAGAGTGTATATAAAATTTAGACTTTATAATTAAACATTTTAAACTCAAATTTATTTTTTAAGTGTCTATATATAGCCAGTGTCCAAAGTCACTGTGCAAACAGTCTTCAGCTGTAGAGTCTTCCCTCCCTCCCCTCAGCAAAATGTTTGGGAAATCAAACTCATAGTTACATATGAGTATACTGGGCACCAGGTACCCCCAAGCCTGGCATTCTGTACTGTCTTACTGTTGCATGTCACACTGTCTTCAGGTCTTTGAAAGTGAAAAGACATGGAGCAGAACGAAGACTGATATCAGAAATTATCTATTTTTCAGCTCCTAGGGCTCATTAACATCTCAGTTCACAGTCAAACATCTGTTCTCGATAGTTAAAAACAGACATTTTACTCTTTAGGGATGAGTGTTTGGGGACTGAAGGAAACAAAACTAAAATAGTTTTCTTCGTTTCACACTCAACACTTCTTGAGCAGACAGACTCTGAGCAACCCAGTGCAACTCTGAAGAGGACCATTCCTTGACCTTGGGGCTGGACCGGGTGACCTCCAGAGGTCTCCTCCAACCTCAATGATACTGTCAAACTGATCAAACACAACCAAGTTCATCAAAATCATTCTTTCACATAATTTTAAATATAAATTTTTAAATGTAATCATCTCACCTTTTTCTGTTGTTCATTTTACAGGGTCAATGGGAATTTAAGTTGTGAATCCAAATATTAAAAATTTGCCAAATAACACCAGTGTCTTTTGTTAAGGAAAAGAACATTTTGTGCAATCATTTGGGTTGGTTTGTTTCTGTGGGGGATTTCTCTTGGGGGAGGGGGTGGGGAGCTTTAGCCTAAAATGCTTTTAAAGTGAAAAGACAAAATGCAATTAAAAGAAAAAAATACAGATTTTAAAGCAATCTGCTAAAATCCCAGAGGTGTTTAAAAAAAAAAACAAACTGAAAAACTGAAAGAAACCAGAACAGAAAAAACACACCACTGTGCAGCTATTGTTTAAGTCTTCTAACACGATACAACTGATACAGCATGGTATTGCCACGTGCTTCACTCAAGGGAACTCTTCCACAAGTACGTATGCTCATTAAACCTCCCTTAGCCCTCAAAGTGACTTTATAAAATTAAAAGCAAGAAACTGTGAGCAACCTACCTGTAATGTTATGTTGTTAATACTAGTGGCATCTATTCCAGAAATTTGAACATTTTGTCCAACCAGATTAGCAGCAAGTTGTAACTGTATTCCTTCAAGAGTGGCCAAGCTACCATCTGTCAAGGACACAGTTAAGTCACCTCCAGCTACCAAAGAAAACAGTCATATTATAATGTTTTTCTTTATCATTACTGACTGCCTCTTTTAGCTTGCTTATTTTTATAAATTAAATCAATACAAAAACTATACACACACATACACATTCATTTATGCCAAGAAAAATATTTGAAGCAGATGATTACTTATTTCAAAGCTTCATAAATTCTATGCAATTTAAGGACTGTTATTATTTAAGCACTAGCTAGCATCTTACAAACAAGAACCACTCCAGAGTAGCTTTGATACCAAATCTCTCCAGGTTTTCAATTTCGCTGGAGAGTGTACCACACCTAAGTACAAGCAGCACTTACATAGGATATGTACACTCTGACTCTGAACGTACACATGAAAGCTACTGCCACAAAAACGTGACATTTTTGCACCACTGTTCAAGAAGGTATCAAAGTTCATCCAATGTATTCATGTAGATGGAAATAAAGGTATATTAGCATTTGAAATACAAAATCTTTAGAGCTTAGAAGGCTCCTAATTTCAAAAGCTGAATAGACCACCTCTACAAAAGGTCTTGAGAGAACAGAAGGAAAAAGTCACCTTGCGTCTGACATACCTTCTTCTCCAAACACCTTCAGTATGATCAACCAGACTCCTTTGCTTGATGCTTCAAAAACACCTATCTTTCCCTCTCCAAAATCCTTTAGTATAATAAATCTGCTTTACAATGCACCCAAGAAATACTTGCTCTGGGCAAAATGCAAATCGCTAATCTCAATTTAAGAAGGTTCCTGCCTCTGTCTAGGATGTCTGAACACGCTAGAGACAACTCCCTATTATGTTCACTCAAAAATCCAAGCAAACATCAGTTTTTAATCACAAATTTATCACAAATGGTACCTGTCAAACAACATTTATCACTATCTTCTGAACAACCAACAGTTTATTGGTTTGGACAGCAACTTAGGTCAAATCAGATAAGCTGGAATGACTACAGTTAAATATGAGACTGATACATTACTGTGAATTTGTGGGCATACCTTCAAAATCATAGATATGTACAGAAAAAAGTGCCAAAGAAGTACAGGCAAATCAAAGTCTCCCTTTCAGAAGTGACGGACAGACAGTCCAAGACCCACAGTTTAAGTAGTAAATTTAACAGTACCAGGGAACATGTCCAGACACCTGAACACTATTCTGCTCTTAAAACTGTCCCTGTCCCAACTTTGCTCGAGGCCAGCTAGCACTTACATGAACAATGCCTGAAAGCAATTTAGAAGTTAGCAAGGATCATTCTCAAAAGGTCATCTACTTGCAACATGAAGCACATTGGGTATTCTGTGTCAGTTGGCCTCAGTGTCAAAGAATGGCACATTTAATGTGTTAATGAAGCTGTAGTCGCTGTCAATCAGTAAGACTCCCTATCCTAGGCATTTAATTATTCAGCATACAAGCCTACACTAGTAGTTTTTTTTATTGCTAAAGTGTTTTCTTGTTTTGTTTTTTTGGTTGGGTTTTTTTGGGGTGTGGGATTTTTTTTTTCTTTTTGTTTTACACCATTAACTACACATGTACAGTACAGCATGTGCACTTAAAACACACTCTTCATTATTTATGTAAATAACTAGCGTAGACAAACTTTTCTTTGCTCTATGATCTAATGCTTGAATACAAAATAAATCTTACGGAATGGAGAGCTTACAGAATAACTGGTTTGCTTCTCTCCTTTTTAAGAAAAAGCAGAGTATTACCAAAAAGAATACAAGTACTCCAGCTACTTGTTATCTGTATTTTCTTCCTTTCTGCAGTGTAACACCAGAGCAGAACTGAACACATCTTTTTATGTGAACTGTATGCATTTTCCCCTTCATTCTTAAATAACTAAATTTCTATTTATGTCACCACCGTGCATTGAATCATGAATTCAGTATAACTCTTACCTGTTTGGAAGTAGTGTTTGGCTAATTTTCTGAACTCTAATAGAAAGCAAAGTTCAGTACTTCATCTCAACACCACCACTGAAAAGTAATCCATTTTTACCTGACACTGAAGCAGGCAGGATAGCCTGGCCCACAAGTCCTTGTTGAAGTAAATTTTGATCAAACTGACTCGTCAAAACAGAGTTATTCATGATGAAAACATTAGGGTCTGTTGAGGATGAATTAAGAAGACTGACTGGTTGTAGTCCCTCAGCTGAAGTACGGGCGACAGGCTTCCTAACTTTCTTTGTCTCTGGTTTATAATGACACTGTATGTGGGTTTTTCTGCGCCCTGAAGTACGAAACCGTAAATCACAGTGTGGACATTTAAAGGGCTTTGCTCCTGTATGCAGACGCATGTGGACTTTTAGACTCCCTTTTGTAGAAAAAGAATTACTGCACACGTGACAACTGAAGAGCTTCTGGCCTGGAAGAGTTTCAAAAAAAGAAAGATAAGTGATAAAACCTCTAAAAGTCGATAGCATTGTACCAACAATTTAAAAAAATACAGATTCTTCACTCACGTGCGCAGAATAATCTGAAATAACTAGCCTTTTTCTTTATAGTTTTGGCTGCTTTTCAAATGAATTAAGGATCTCAATGAAGGGTATCTTAATTTTTTCCTATTTCTAAAATGCAGTATGCTGTTTAAACTTTCATGCAGAGTCTTATTTGGTCACCTTGTTTCCTCTGTCCTCCTCCTCATCTCTTGCCCTCCTGACTAATCAAGCTGTTTGAACTACATAGCTCATAGAACTGAAGAATTAAAAGTTTCATCTTGACCTCGTCAGCATTTGGCTTCTCCTTACTTAGCCACTCATTCCTTTTTAATTCCAGCAGCTTTATTCTTCTGTTTCAGCCTGTACCTCAATACTGACTAATATTAATGGATTACAAGTAGGAAATGAGTAAAATTTTTAAGTGAGATAATATTCTGAAAGAAAATATCAACAGACTCGAAGTCATCTAGAAGTACAGAAATCTGGTCCATACACATACAGTCGTCTTTCTCAGCTCTCCTCCTTTCAGATTGCATAACATTTGAAGAAAAACCTTGGCCTCAAATGGAATTTTTAATGTACTACAAATAACAACAGTTAACTACAGAGTTTGTTTCATTAACCATATGCGCAATTGTAAAATTCACAAAAAGCATAATGTAAATATCTGGCAGAAAACATGCCACTGTAGCTGAAAACCCACCGTAACTACTGAAATTCCCAGGCCTTCCAGAATAGTATTGCTTCCTAGCTAAACAAGGGAAAGAAATCAATGTATTCCGCACAGCTGTCTTACCAAAGAATAAAATCAAGACTTCTCTATAGCTTTGATGGAAAAATACATTAAAAAAAGAAAAGTAGTACTAAGTATGATTAAATTATCCTTTTTACCTGCAAACCTTTATATCAATCCTGAAACAAAGTCAGCTCAACTTCCAGATCAGAAAGCACTACTGTATTCTGGTGATGCTAGTCATTTACAGTTGGTAAAGAAGTCACAAAACTAATGTGAATCTCTCATCAAATTCCTGAATTACAATTCAATCTACCTCAGATTACAGATTTAGATTACAAAACCCTAACATTGTTGTCACTTTTTGTTCAACAGAATTAAGTAAACCTCTGACAACTTTCTTTCAAATAACGGAAAAGAAAAGAGCCCAAGAATAACATGAATCAGTAAGACAATGCAGATCTGGGCTGCAGCAAAGCTGTCTACCACATTCAGAGTACCACAAAGAAAACCATCTTTCCCACTAAAGAAAAAAATACCCACTGGGAGAAAGGAAGAAAGAGGGAAAGAAAGTCAGCAAAACAAAGCAAGCAAGCAGCAAGGAACAAACAACATCTGAAGTCCTGTTTAAAAACAGAACATTAAAATATTCAATCAGATTATGACCTCACTCTTGAGCTTTTTGTGTAAGTACTAGGAATCTGAAAAGAAAAAAAAGATGGATGAGCTAGAACATAAAGCTATCTATGTACAGGGAGGTAGGGACCAGACCATGAGGGGAAACTTGGAGGGAAGATGATCACAAGTTGGGATGAGAAGTCATACAGGAATGGCAAATGTCAAATGGGCATTGCTTCCAAATATAGTAAAATTAAGTGTGTTTTATCGCATCTACATTTATGCCTGCTGCTGGCTACCCAAATAAAATGTTAACAAGAACTGTTACATATACAGGAAATTAGAAAAGCAGTGAAGGCAGAAATAAAGTAACATGTGACTTCAGTTATCCCACTATATGCTACGCCAGGACACAGGAACTAAATGTTCAATTGAAGAACCATACATCTCACAGAAAAACTTCCAGCCAGCCTGCTGGTCTGAAAGGTGACGATACAATAGAAGCTAAGTAAAACCCAAAACTAATTCTTTGCATCAATGTTTATTACAGATGGAGTCAGACAGGTTCCTATCCAGGCAACTTTCTTTTACAGGGGAAGAGCACAGTAGCTTTTTCAAACTGAACTGTTATCAGGGGAGTTCCAGACAATCACACTGTAATTTTTTTTATTATTATTATTCATTTAAATAAAATAAATATGGTTCAACATAAAACTGATGAACTATTAGCTGTAGATGTTGCCCACAGATTAATACAGCCCTCTGAAAAGGGATCCAGACTCAAATGCAGAAACTTCACACCAGTTAAACTTCATGTTCATCCAACACAAGCTGGTGCAATTATAAAAGAAAACGGAAAAAACCAAGATGAAATGATTTATAACAGGGAAAAGTTGATGTGGCTTTTGTAGTGAAAATTGCATTTCACAGATCTATGAGAGCTCTTTGAAGGAGACTAGATTTTCACTACCAAGACTGTACCTGGATTTTTTGAGTTTTACCCTGGTTTTATATGAAAGAACTTTAGAAAAACTGCTGTCATGGGAAGAAAGGACAGAGTCTTTTCCTGAATTAAAGAAAAATAGTTGTAAGACTGAAAACAAAAGGTAGGATTATATGGACAATTTTCACAAGGTTGGAAGTCAGCAAGGGAGTTCTTTAAGCACCTGAGTGAAGACCTAAGCTAGTCAAGATTGTAATGTACATAGTGTGGATGAGAGGATGAACACCAGGTTGGAAAAATCTGTTAAGGATATTAAAACACTCATTTACAAAGCTCTGTTTTATATTATTAAAAAGTCTGTAAAATCATAAAAAGCTTGAAAAGGGAAAACCAGGGAACAATTTCTCATTATTTCTCAAAAAAAAAAGAACTAGAGGGCTTAGGAACAAAATTATCAGATGGCACACTGGAAACCAAATTTGAATCAAGGAACTTATTACTACTGGATGTACTGGAGGCCATTAATTTTCACCCAGTTCTCCTGGGTCCAGAGAACAATTGGATAAAACTAATGTAAAATATCCCAATAAAGGTAGCGAGCAAAAAGATACAATCTCTAGTTCAGAGTTCCACAACTTGCAAACTGCTTGAAGCTGGAGGAACATGATCAAATCCCTGCTTTGTTCTTTTCATTATCCTTGGCATCTGCTGCTATCTGAGACCAGACACTAATCTACACAGAGATCTGGTGTAACACACAAGAGCAGTACGTACCTGTTACCAAACAACAGTAGAAAGTACAAATACACTGAACTGGAAAGGGAGCTTCCACGACATATTACATATTACATATTACAGCATTAAAAGCTTTCTCTCTTTTTTTTTGCGTTTTTGAAAAAAAAGCTTGTAATGCACCTCAGCAAAACTGTAGCCAGTTTTAGCAATTAATTAGTTTAGGATTAGGTTTATTACAGAAGTACGATGGTAAGAAGAAAACAAGTATGAAAGATTTAAAGAGGTGTTTTTTTAATTTACATAAAATTGGGGTTGAAAAACACTATTATTAAAATGAGATGTCTCAGGAATACAAAGAAACTACTGTAAAAACCTAAATATTACAGAAACTAGGTTTATATTCAATTTGCATGATTCAAATAGCTAAATACTCAAATTTTTTCTACTCTTATTTTTCAATCTACTTAGCAGCACAAACATTTAACTTCTATAATTTTTTTCTTAATTTTATAAAATCCTCCAACTCCAGCCTCTTGCTCAGGAAAATCATTTAACACTGAAATGCTACAGCAGATTTGAAATTAAAATATTATAGATACATACATAGTTTTTTTTTATGAGCTAAGACTATGACTTCTTTATAAGGCTACTAATAAAAAAGGCTGTAATAATATGGTTTATTCAAAATATCATAATACAATTCATTTGATGATGCCGTAAGTACCAAATTTCACCTGGCACTGCCATTCATAGTACCATGTCCCAGATCATAGTGAAACATACCATTCCTTGCAAAACCTTTAGTTAAAACAGCCTGTCAAGATAGTAACCAGTTTCCAGACAAAGACATTAAAAATCTTACTGACCTGTGTGCGTTTTAACATGACAATCCAGAGTGGATTTTACAGTGAAACTCTTTCCGCATTCTTCACACTTATACGGCTTCTCTCCAGTATGGATACGAACATGCCTAGTAATTCCAGAATACATGTATATGTGAATTTCTACTTTTATGTCAGTTTGTAGAAATATTTATTTTGTATCTTACTAATTTTAGAATTAATTGAATACTTATATTAACATTACATTAAGCAGAACTAGTAAAGAACATGATTTAAGCATTTGCCTCTTTTGAAACTGATTTTTACATGTTTTTATATGCAAGCCCTATAGCAAGAAGAAAAGAACTTATTCTAAAACTTCCTAATAATCATTTTAATACTGCAGGAAAAGAAATAATGAAAAAGCTAGTCTAGTCGTATTCAGAACATGTAACATTTTGAGACATATTTTTAAACTGTTCTGAAAAAGAAAGATGTATGTAAATATGAGTCAAACTTTAGCTTAGGCATAAAAAAGTTTTATGAAAATGCTACTGCTAAGTTTATAGTGAACAATTTAGAAATCAGAAAATTGAAAATACACAAAACTTTTCCATTCCTTACCTGACTAAATCACTGGGTTTTTTAAAGCTTTTGGGGCAATAACTACAACAGTTGGCATATTTAGGCTCTGCTTCCAGTTCTGCTTGCTTATCTTTGATCTCACTAATTCTGTCTTTCTCTGCAGCAGACTGGACAAGAACTTTTTCTGAGACAGTGGCACTTTCTCGAGGCCTAATCTTTGCCAGTTCTGCTGTTTCTTCTTCTGTAAAAGTTATGACACCAGGACGAGATTTTCTGGAAGTTCTTTCAGAGTTTTCATCATCATCTTCAACACATGCAACTATTAAAAAAAAAAAATACACACATCTGTTTAGTTTAATCTATCAGCTGAAATTACAAATATAGAAGGGTTTATTATTAAACACATCGCCACTGTATTACATGCTTGGACTTAAATCTCTTTCAGAGGTCTAACTACTCATTTCTGTACTTCTTTTAAATAAAGCTGGATTTAAGGTATAAGTAATTTAGGACAAAAATTATTCTACTGTAGTGACACATTAAAATAACTATGTCACATACAATACCTTGAATACACTGGACAGACTCCTGGAAAACTGGTTTCTGTAAACAATCTACATAAGAGAGCAACTACAGTGGCTCTGGACATTAGACATTATCCATGCTGGAAGGCTAATTTATAACATTACTGTTATAGCATTCATGTAATTCACGGAACCATGTGTACTTGTTATGTAGTAAGGACTGTAAGAGTAAAAATGAAATAGTTTACCTCCCCCTCCTGTTTCTGTAGCTGCTGCTACAGCTGAGGAGACTGCCTGATGTTTTTTCATATGTTTTTTGCAGTGAACAGTTGTTCGAAAGCTTTCATCACAGAATGGGCACTTGTAAGGCTTCATGCTCATGTGAGTTGCCATGTGCCTGGTAAGGCTGCCATTAGTTGTGAAGGAGGTATTACAAATGCTACAGCTGAATGCTTTAACTCCTTAAAGTAACAGAAACAAATAAGTAGCATGCCATTTGTTTAAGTTTACTTATACAGATCATTTACAAACGCCAAATGTTTGAGTTAAGCTAATATAGAGCTTGTATACTCTGTTACCTGTATGAGTCTTCTCATGTGACTTAAGAACTCCTGAGGAAACAAAGCCACGGCCACAGAGTTGGCATTTATAAGGTTTCTCACCAGTATGCGATCGTACATGTTGTTTCAAATGGCTGGATTTTTTAAAACCCTTGTTGCAATATTCACATCTATTAGAAGAAAATTGTTTTCATTAGTTGTATATAATTAGTAGCCATAAAAGATTCAGGAAATTCTGTGACAGAACCTAAAAGTATAACAAACCTATACGAACGCCTGCTTTGATCTTCATTATCCTCAAGAAAATGAGTCCGTTGGTTATGCAATTCAAGCTCTTCTTGTGATGACTGATCTTGTATCAAGCGAGTAGTCTAGAAATCAAAGCCTCAAGTAAATTTCAATAACACAATACTGAAATAAAGTCACATAAATAGGCAAGAAAAAAATCACAGCACTTACAGTCAACACAAGTAACCAAATTTATGCTTTCATAAATTTTTGACAAGAAATTAAGAGTGTGATATGATACCTCACTCTCATAGCGAGAGGGAAAGCAGCAAAATGTGCACCTATTGAATCGGAATAAACAGACAACATGGTGCACTTAGACCTCCCTGCGAATCAGACAAAAATGTGTCTTGAGTCTTGTACGTTTCCTAGTGCCTGAGGGGTTAAATTTAACACTAAAGCAGCCATTTTAAACAGTATGAGCCCCACACTGAGTAGCAAAATGCACAGTGGTGCTGGCAGAGTTCACTACTTTTTGAACAGGTTTGTCCTCTAAGCAAAAACCACTGCAGAATAATCCTCGAGAATGATAGCATGTGTTAAGATTTGAAGAGGAGAAAGCTCCAAAGCCTGTAGGCTACTCAAACTCTTCCAGATCCTAAAACCCACCTCAGTTCTCTGACTGACACTCGCCCTTTGCAAACAAGCATGAAGTGACAAGAATTCATGCAGGTCATCGTGGTAAATGTATTACTACAGATGGTCTTCACGCTAGGTACTGCTACCATCATAAAAAGTTATATTTAAACTGTATTTTTAGCAATTAAGCTCTTGTACAAATTTAACCAGATGAGAACCACAAAAGAACATCATACACTGCAGTATGCAAGCTCCATGAATGATCACTACACATTTGTAATGTTATTTTTATTGCTTGATCATATCTATATACATACAAATTAAAGAATTAGGACAGAATATAGTGCAATAATGTAAAATTATTTTATAACATTAGGTCCTTTCCTTAGTTTTAGACTTACAATCCAACTTTATAGCATTATACCCTTTTTTAAGCTTAGAGCATCAAAACATACAACTCTGAAACATGTAGCCAGGTCACTTCTCCCACCCTTTTATTTTTCAGTTGTTAAACATAAGCAATCTAGAAAAGAAATCATGAAACTTTTCCGACTTCTGTTTACCTAATCACCAATGAAATAGTTCAAAGAAACTCATCACTGAACACAGAACAATGAATTCGGCCTTCTAGCGGTACTTACTACATTAATAGCGTCTGTACTTGGAACCTGAAGAAGGGCTGGTGGATGGTAACTCGTTGAAAGAGCCTGAGATTCAAGTGTGCTTGAATCCTGCAGCTGCTGTACAGCTGGAAATTGAGTCTGTTGATTGTAGCTGTCATTGACTGTAAAACCTGCCAAAAATTAAACAGTCACAAACCTGGAAAATACACTGAATTGGACTTTGAATAACACCACACTTTTTTGAAGACTACCTTCCAAAGAGATTAAGTAGTATTACCAAATAGTAATACTCATTTTATACTCTTCACTGTTGAGTGTCAAAATGCACAAATGTTTCTGGCATCTACATAATATGCATAACAGGGTTACTTACCATTAGCTGGAATTCTATTGGAAAATCTCCTCCACAGAAAAACACTGTTTGAAGTTTCTTCGGGGTGCCACAATTACCTTAGAGCCATTGAAATTTTGAATTTCTTGTATGTAAGCATGCATGTGTCAAACAGGTTGACCCATCTCCCTTTATCCACGTTGGTACCACGCTCCCTTAACTACACTGGAAGCCGATCACAAGGATGCAAAGCTCAGTGGGGAGGATGGCGGGTGAGTGGAGGAGATGACCCAATAGGAGAACTCCAGTTTCTGATAAAGTAACCCCATTTTCTCCTACTTTGGATCTCCTCCACATATTCCCACTCTTTAGATAATAGTAAAGTAGAGCCTCTCAAAGGCAAACTGCAAAGTAAAAAATAAACATATTTTTATTCACAATTCCAGTATAAAGACCTGACATTTTTATTCGGTTTTCTTCTGAAATATCAGATCTTAATCACCTCCTTTTCTAAATGAATGAATGAAATGATAGTATCAATGATTCAGAGCCAGGGAAGTATAGCTCAAATTGCAGGGGTTTTTAGTGCTATTAGAGATGCCCTTTTATTAACCCCTCTAAGCCCTAATACTTTTAATATACACACACACATCCCCCCCAATGCTGTGTGGAAAAGAGTGAAACCACAAGTATCAGTAATTAAGGTAAGGGCAGCAATTTTACTATTTCTGTGCAGTTTGCCTTTAGTGGACAAAAAGGGTGAAGATTATGAAAACAGGGTAGAAACAAACCCACATCAGATGATCACAGCATCAAAGGCCAAAAAGTAGTACTTAAAGAATTTTTTTAATTACAGTACAGTATATCAAAAACTGGGATGTGTTAAGTTTAAGCAGAGATTTTCCCAAAAGACACTTCCCACAGTAGAAGAGGACTGTTATCAACACAGGAAAAAAACTTACTTGTATGCTATTGCTTACACCATAGAATGAAAACTAATAAATGTAAAACAAATCTTGAAAGCATTATTAGTCAGGTTGTAACTTATCACCAAACCTAACGCTGCAACTCGTATATTATTTTGTCTCCTAGAACTACCAAGACTACAAGAAAAAAAAAAAAGTCTCAACAAGCTAGCCTTTCACCTCAATTACTCTTAGTGAAATGACAAAATCAAAATTAGCCCGAAGAACAGTATGCAAAGCTTTACGGTGATAAGAGGGCTGCTAATTTTTATTTTCAAATACATTTTAAAAGCACCTTTATGGAAAAATGGTATTCCCACTACACTTGATGAGAACACAAAAAAACCAAGCCTCAGGAAACTGAAGTAAAAGTGAAGCCACTTCCATGCCCTACATAAAAAAAAAAAGGATGTAACTATTTAAATGTAAAAAGAAACAGCTATCTAAAAAAACTGAAACTTTTTTTAATCGTTAAGTAATTTTTACTAGCTAAGAAAGAAAAAAGAAGTTACTATACCATGACCTGTTTTACTTCAGTGTTTTAATAAAAGCAATTATTGACATCCTGAAAAATTTCCCAGGATCATACAACAAAATACTCATGAAGAAAAGTTCTGAATTTAAAGGTATTTTGGGACAAACTGAAGAAATAAATACTCCTTCTGAAAGTAGTTCTGGAATAAATATAAACCAACGCTGTAACAAGAATATACATGATGCAACCCCATTTTGCTCAATACCTAGTACGAAGGTCAATTTCCACTCAAAATTTAAAAATATCTGACAATTTTGAGCATGCTAAAGCCATTTGCTACCACCATACTATTTCTACAGAACAGCATAAAAAAAAAAAAACAACACCCAAACACCAAACAACAGACATTCAGTCTGAGAAAGACAGAAATAAATTTCAGAACCTTTATTTTCTGCTCTTGTTTTCATCATTATACATTACTTCCCAGAAGCTTTTGCTTAATTTGCAAAGAACAGAGAGCATCTTAAGCTCTGCATAATCAGGGGAGTATCTTACTATGAAGTCCTCTAAACTTGGAATTGGATTTTGTGTTATTTCAGTACAAGCAATCATTTGCATTGCCTGTTTTTTCTTGGCTTTAGGACATCACCCAGCCTATTCTCTTCTACATTAACAAAACATACTGAAAAAACAGAATACTCTGGAAATCAGTTTACTGGTGGAAAGATATGTCTCGCACATGAGAATCAAAAAACAACAGTATGATAGTTCATAGCAAATATAGTATTTTAGACAAAACTTGAAGTCTTTACTGACAGATCATTTGAACTCTAACATTACAAACGTATCTACATGCACGTGTGCATCTCGGGGCGGGGGGGGGGGCTGGCAGGGTTGTGTGTGTGTGTGTCAGTGACTAGTGATTAAATGTTCTGCAGGTTTGTTTCCTAGCCAACTTTTGGAACCACCTGAACAGTATTGACTGGAATCAATGTGCAAATAGTTACTGAAAGAATCGGAATTCCAAGTCTTGAGATTGCAGATCAACTTCTCAGGACAGCAAAACAGCAGTCTGGTGGCAAGGGTACATTTATATGAGCTACAGAAAAACAGTATTTGGACTTCTTGTAGTTTTTCCAAGATCACTCTCCTATCACCACTAACTGAATTATTAACATTCAACCATGCTTACAGGGAGACTTTAAAGGAAGAAAATGTGACATAATCTATATGAAAACACATTTGGTGACAGATAATACTCAATAACACAAAGACATTTTCTGATAAAAGATCCATTTCGTTGTTCTGACCTCACTAAAAAAGTCTTCAGATGAAGATGCCTGAATATGTAAACTGCAAAGAACACCTGAAGTCCTTTTTCTCAGTCTTCAAATCTAGCTCAAATGAGTAATAGACTATGATACAGCAGCACCCTTGTAAGATCTGCACTTCTTTACAAGTCTGAACATATCAAGAAGAAAATCTATCTGAACAAACCACAAATTCTGTAAAAGTATTACAGACAAACCTGAAGGAATAAACAAAGTTCTGACAGGTCTCTGCAGACCTAGAGATCAGCCTCATCTGTCTGAAATGTAAAGATTTTTTTTTTCTTAAAAAAAGGAAAAAGAAAAATCAAAAAACCTACTGAAGATTTTTTAAAAACTCCTACATTGTTTTATTAATAAACACTGAGCCAAAATATTTTAACAAGAATACAGCCTATAAAAATCAAGGATAACAAAGACATAGTGTTTTAAGTTTGAATGTTCTGCCTAGCTGATAGGAAAAAGAAATTAGGAGCATGAAGCACAGATGCAGACATAGGGAGAGGGTCGACCAATTTAACGCATGCATCCGCGCAAATGCTTACCTACCTGAAATTCAAAAATTTTGAAGGGCTCCAGGATCTTCAAGGAAACTTCAAAGAGTTGGGAATCTGTGGATGAGATTCCAAGTAGAATAGGAGACATCTTATACAAGTGAGACTTAAAAAAAAAATCTACACCACAAATGTTCTGATTCTCTGTACCAATTTTATAATGTACCAATGATCGGCCTAGATTTCTGATGATGAAAGAATTGTTTTGTGAGATCTAGAAGAGTCTTCCCCCTCCCCAAGAAATCACTCAGTATTCAAGGTTTATTTAATGGAGAAGATACACATACACAGAAACTGAAGTCTAAATAAAGTAACAAAACAAGGTTTACGTATTGAATTTTCAAATTCAAAGGAGCCATAAAGATCCAAAGAAAAACCACCACCACTCTTGAGAGTAACACAGAGTAAAAGGTTGCACTTTTTTTCTGCAGTCTCTTTTCATTCATTTGGAAAACTGTAAAAAGTAACCAATGAAAATAATCCATAGGGTTTTAACAGGACCTGGTTCAGTCTTGTTTAATAAAGGCGGAGAGTTTAATTTTTTTTCTCAGTTACATACAAAGCAGCACAACCTAGAGAATTAAAATTGGCAACAAATTATACTATTTCTTCACAGTGTCATGCAACTTAGCACAGTCAATTATGTTTTTATGAAAGGCACTATACAATTAAACAGGGAATGAAATTAAGAACAGAGAAGTTTAAGCAGATGGAATACCAATCACCGGTTACCAGTCATATAAATATGAAGTTATTTGCTGGAGTTGGAAACAAGGAGGAAGAGATCAGCTGGTCAGCCAGTGAGTTATGCTTCCCAACCAAAACAAATGAAAACCCCTTGAACATACTCTCCTTCCCTGCCCACCCCCCCCAAAAAGACCCAAACCAAAACTAGTAGCTTCATACCAAGCAACAACTCAAGAAATCCAGGACTGAAAAGCAAAGGTACACAGTCATTTCTTCATTCTCTGGAGGCTACATAAGCCTTACACATATTTCTCAGTATTTTGTAGGTAAAATTAAAAAAAAAGTTTCCAAATGTTTACAGTCTCTTCATTTGTTACTTATGTAGCTTTATAAAATACAAAAGGAAACCGTTGTGTTTAGGTGAAAGTATGAGTTCTACATGATTATATTTTGCACTGTCTTTTTCCATAATGATTCCCAACAGCTACTCAGTCAAATCTTAGACCATGTTTCTGATCATCTCAAGTTATAGGCACGTATATTTAGGGGGAAAGTTGTGTAAACTGCCTACTGC